TAGAGACACATAGAGGGCACAATACTCCCGAATATGCACTACGTTATTATTGCATTGTGGACAACAGCAACATCTTGTAAAAGCATTGCACATGTTATCCATACCCATAGAACTTAAAGGTCAAGTCTCTCCTCCGGTGTTGTCATGCACATAAGCGTTCAAGGCCTTTAATCATCAAAACATATTCTTCATTGCTTAACATAAACCGTTGGGTCTGTAGAGACCTAAAGTTAGTTGTCAATGGCTAATCAGTTCCTATTGATTTGATGGGTATCTCATAACATCTCTTAAATTGCGATATTTGTATTGATCCAGTTGTTACGTATTTAAAAAACAAGTAATCGACAGCGTAATCACCGTTATAATCAAGGATCTCCAACCACTTGATAAGCAAAATTTGTATACCTTTTCCTAGAATGATTGAGATTGGCGGTAAGAGAACTCGGTGAGGTCATTTTCAGGGAAGATATAGTCGTTAGATTTTCTCTTCCTACTCATCATTCCTCCGGACGCCACAGATATCTGTTTATTCCACAGTCAATTCCCAGAGATGTGGCGTGGCAGTTAGTATAATTAATTGGTTTCCTGTACCTGAGCATTACTTCTCTTTAAACACCTCTCGTCGTCATCTGTGGGTGGGGCAGGATTTCAAATGACGACACCTTTTTGATCGTTCACCGAATAACTTTTCATCAGTGTCGTTTTGATGTGATTGGGCACAACACAGTGCAGTGTTGGCTGTAGTCTCAAAGGCTCTCCTACCTCGGACTCTTGAGAGAGCAAACGGACTAGAAGTGTGCTCAATCGATCACTTTCTAAGGCGGACCTTCAAAGATAGTGAAAGTTGTAAGGTCGAACAGTGAGCAGTGTCGAATACGTGCACAATCTACCTTACACTTCCCTGATGCACAAAATCTCCTATTGGAAATATCCAGTCTGACGCAATACGCTTTTCGTTCAAAGTTTCTGCGTAGCGCAGAAGTATCCGACTCCTTTTCACATACGTGAACTGAAAGTAATTCGTGGAAATTGACAATATCTATGTATGAGAAAGAATTAAATTTACCAATGGCTCAGGAGAGAGTGAGACTTTCGAACTTTGGTCTGAACGTTTAGGTAAAAGAATCGAAACAAATCTTGCGGTAGAGGAACTACTCCTATCGATGAGAATGTAGGAGAATACACATCGGAAGCAGTTGGCAACAAGCGATGTCCCTGTTCTACTCTAATCGCCTACAATGTCCTGGATATGGTCGATTATAGTCATAAGGAGAGGAGGGAATTTATAGGGCGTAGGAAGTCGCGATTATGCTTATTTGTGGATCACTCTCATTCTTTGACCGAGTAGTGAACTTTTAGAACGCACTGCTTTAGGTAATGCGTCATCGAAGGTTACCATAATTTTCTTTTAGCGAAAAAATTCCAGTGTTCATAATACTGAGAGTCGTTCAGGCGCCCCAATTCTTGATTTTCATGTCAAACTGTCTGCAAGCCATGTCAAATGAAGAGTATTATGAGGATCGTGTATCAATGAAGGGACGCAAGCGGTGGAGGACTGCAAGAACTTTATAGGCTTGGTTTGGTCCACATCAAATTAGCAGTTCTTGAAAAAGTACTCTCTAAAGATTCCGATGTCGACCAAATCAATTTTTTTCTCCTCCTCGAACAACTTTTAGCAGTAATAATGTCGTCTCCGATAATAGTGCCAATGGAGTCAGCAGTACGCATGATCATAAGTTTTCTTCTCTAAAAATGGTTGAGACTATATGTCATAAGGTTTAGGTTTTTAGGTACTTCTTTGGAGGAGTTTATCCGATTACCTCATTGTTATGACATATGCTTTCGGTGTGTTGTCGCAAAGAAATTTCGTTGGAGAAGTTTTGGTAATAAACTAAATTTGTTCCTTGTTAACATATCATAACAGCAAAATAGTAAATCTGTGAGATCAAGACAATCTTAGAAGTCGCTCTATTATTTAAACGGAGTGAATGAAGTTTCAAAAGAATAGTGTTCAATAGTATTCTAAACAAGCCAAAACACTTTATGGGACTGTATAAGAGCCCATTACCAGACCACATGACATGTTTTTTTCAAATAATAATTATGAGATATATTCTAAACGAGATAAAACCGTTGATTTTGCGTTTCACTTCGGCTAACATGGACCTTAGTAGCATTTGTAATTGATGAAAGTAAGAAGTTTTGTCACGGAATGTCTTACAACTTTCGTGTGTTTGAACTGTGGAAAAAAAAACTATGAAATATGAAGCAATAAGTCAGTAAAAAGGATGGTTATAAAGACGACTCGTTCCAATTTGCCACGCTGGATGAAGCAATTCTTGAGCTCGAGTCAAAGTTTTTCTGATAGAATGTTTTGAGCCTTGCAGAGCTCGGTGTGGCATCTTGGTGGTATACGTACGATTCGAAAGTGAAGAAATCACCTGGTATTGCAGTCCAGAGTGATTGATTGTCCATGGCTTACAGCTGTTATTGAAGCATGTAAGAACACTTCCCAAGCATTTACGTAACAACAGCACTTTGATAACAACGATGTGGGGCCATTCTAATATGGGCACACCAATATAGCTCGCAACAATCACAAATTCATCATAAGCTCTCACAAGAAAAACAATGTGCCTCGAGAGGGAGTGTAACTCGCAACTCATCCTTTCTGCAAACGCGTGCTACTCGCTGCACTGCCGAGTCTGCTGTACTTTTTCAATACTCCATTGTCGCAGTCTATTAATTCTGTCAGTCACGCGTAAGCTGTTCATCTGGTGAGAGCGTATCAACACGAAACCCTTATGAGCTAACAGATACTCGATTGGTTTATCGATAGGAGTTCTTTGTTTAGCCGCTTTTTCAGCGATGTAATGTTACAACTGTACATCAATAATCTTAAGTGTATGCAAAATTCTAAACCGTAAGCTAGAGTTGAACATGCATGTCACTCTTTCCTGGGTGTAATGCACAGCCGGAAGCAGTAGCCGAGTCGTTGTGATGCTTGTCGCGGCGCGCTGGCTGAACCCCGTTCACTCCCCAGCGCGGGCAGTCAAGAACGAACGCTCTCTGACACGCTGCAGCCAGGCTATCCTCAAAATTGCCATGAGACGTAGTCGAAAAGTATTCTACGACTTTCAAAGAGGTAGCGCAAAAAGAAGTTGAATGTTAGAAGCACTGAGATCCGCACAATAAGAAAAAAACCTTGGAAGATTGATAAATAAACTGACCAAAATTATCACTGTACTACTGCAAATCAGCACTGGTTTGACAATCAGCAGTGAGTTTGACCCAATTGACTAATTCCTAATGGCCATCGTTAAACTCTTCAATTCACCACAAGTCAGATTCGTTGCTGAGTAGTGGACCCAATGGTCACGTGCCACTTTGGTTTCGAAGGTCACGTGTTATTGTCGCTATCGATGTAAGAGCTGACTCTAATTTCAGGAATTCTGTCAGGGGTCAATCACTGTAAGGAGGCTATGGCACTGTGACTTTCAAATGGCACTTTACGCTTTCAGTCACTACTCAAGAGAAGGGTATTCTCTCCGCGCTCAGAATCACCGTATCGTTGTGTTGTATATTGTTTGTATACAGTTGGTATTGTATGTATAATTATTAATAGCTCTTCTTCGCATGTGAATGCCATTGCTACTTTCTTGATTTCCATCACGAGTGCTGCTGAATACTGCCTAAGTCGATGGCTGTTCTTATGTTGATCAAAAGTACTGACCCTGACCTGGAAGAGGTTTGGTGAGCTTCGACCGGAGTTGAATAAGGACTGTTGAGGGCTGGTGGCTTTTGAAAGAAATTTTAGTGCCCATTCGGAAGCTTAATAAAAGGGTATTCTGAAACTACTTTGGTTTTCAAAACGGTCTCCGTAGGAAATATCGGGCCGCTCAACACCACATTTGATGACCAGAAGTTATCAAAATTGCATGATTTTAGTATACGTTCAACTACGTAGTTTGTTGCCAACATTTTGATATTCAAGTCGCCTATCTGTGCTTCAAGATGGAAGTGTCGTGGGAACAAATCCTGCTACTGGTGCGCGAATGGCGCGAAGAAAAAATGCTAGTTAAGCGGAGTGCAAGATTAGTGGAGCTTCCTGTGGACGGCCAAAGGGCGATTAAACCTCCAATCTCTTCTCTCCAGCTTTGAACTTCGCGAACCAAATCTTCGCCATTTTTTTCTGTCAACCTTATCATCGCCCTAAGCTCCATTAATATTAAGCGCTGCTTGACTAGCATTTTTCCCTACGCGCCACTCGTGTATGAGATGCAAGCAAACTTGTTTTCAAGTTAGCTTCACCTTAGAGCAAGTATGCAGAAGTTGTGTCCAGAATGTTTGTAAGGAGATGCGCAGTTGAACGACACCAAATTGATGCAGGTCTAGTTCTTTCTGGTTAATAAATCTGGTGCCTAAGAGAAGTTTTTTTTATCCGTAGCTGTATAGTGGTAGCACGAAGTACAAGTATATCCAATGATGTTGAGTGATGGGCAAAACTTCTGCGCCACGCGCGACTGAGCCCGCACTTCACTCTATCTGGAAGCGCGTGCTTTAAGCCGTGTCCTGACATCACTCTTTCTACGCTACAACATATAATGGTGTCACCATCTAACCGTCAATGCCTTGACCTGATGGTCAATATCAACATGGAATCCCGTTGTGTTGACAGCTATTGGATTTTTATTTTGTTAAAAACGGAAAAACTTTTATTTGATTTCTTTGTCGCGGTGGTATGATGCTACAAATATATTCGCCCCACACAGAGTGAAATGTGAGTTTCAGTTCTGCCTGACGCAAAAGTCTTGCACACCCATCAAAAAATGTATAAATTTCGTATTTATTGCGGTGGTGCCGAAACTTATGGAACGACTCAATAATATTATTTTCAAGATGTATAGGATAAAGCTCTTGGCATTCATCAATCTCTGAGGGATGCGCTATTCAATCGACTTCAATAAACACAATAGTGTAGGGTGATGTGCAGAAACATTTGCTTCAGCCGGGAGTGGAACCCAGATCTCACTCTTTCCAGGAGCGTGTGATGAACAGTTGCACCACCGACGCATGTTTTGCACTCCACTCTTCCTACGCTACAACGCTATTTGAAGAAATCAACACCATGGTCAGTAATATGCAACCATTTTTTGGGAATATTATGGATGTCATTCTCCTATAAGTAATGAGGCTGGCCATCAAAGAAGTAGTTGAGATCACTGTTGGGATGGTTCTAGTGTTCAGATTCATTATACCACAAACATGCTTCAGGACGCGAAGAAATGATGATCTGACGGAGCAACGTTAGGAATATACGGTGGATGTGGTAGCAAAATTCAGCCCAGTTTTTCCAATGTGTGGAGAGTCAACATGGTAATGTACCATCGACTGTTAACCTGAAGGAAAGGCGAAGCTGTGTTGTTGAGGACTCTTCGCTCGCCTCGCACTGTTGCGGCCAACTTTTAGATTTAGCACACCTACCAATTCCAGAATGCCGAAAGTACATCCAAGCATGGGACTTGAGCTTTGGTTGAGCTGGAGATTCTTCAGCGGGAGAAAGCCAGTAGGCGGACTATTCCCGTAGTAGCCCCAAATCTCATTTCAGAGATGGTATGCGATAGTGATACGGCCATGTCAAAGTCTCTTGCTACTGTTACTAAAGCATTCACCAGTATACCACTGGTGGTTTGGCTTAGCATGCGGGATGCGAGAAAAGTTTTGTATGTTTTACATTCTGTTTTTTAGCATTCATATAACATTTTTCGGCACTGTTCTATTATGGCGGCGCCAATTGAGCCATTCCGTATAAACGTACTTTTTGCTTTTCCAATATGTTTATGTAGTTTGTCGATAGCTCAAATTAGGTGAATTTCAATGGTATGTTTAGTTTCTCAAATAGCTTGTTTTTGGCACTGTACCAGTCAAAACAAGACTTTGTTTCTCATTCGAAGGTTTCTCACTAGATAAAAGTTTTGTTGTAATGAACCTTTAATCGTTAGGTAGAGAAAATTGTTCCATTTATAATAGTATATTTGGCTTTCGGAAAGAAATTCTTTGAGCTTTGTAACGACCGAAAGAATGTTGGGTTTCACACTCAGTGAGCACTTCTGATCGGCTAAGGTGTGTGTACACCTGTAATACCAATCCGCTGCATAAATCAATGTGGATTTTTTAATGAAAATCAGAGATCTTTCCGACGCTTCAGAATTTTTCTTACATGGCTATGCGATTCTTCAAAGAAAAAAGATGTTCAAAATAATTTATGATGTTTCAAAGATTGACAACTCACAATAAAATATAGATCTCTGTTCAGGAGACCAAGAAACTTTGATCGCATCCAAGAGTGATTTGAATACATCGTCACCTATACTGACTGTGGAGATCACAACTCGGACAATGTGGGGAATGCTGAGGTGGCTTGTCAGCCAAGGGCCAGTTTTGCGAAATTCCATTCACATATTTGACAATGCATGGTGGCCGGTGCCGTCGCTGATCATAGGTTGCGCAGGTCCCGCCCTCTTTATCAGTGGCCCACGTCCCGCACTAAACCCTATTCTATAGCAGCGAGACCACCAAAACGTGCGTATCATTTGGTGTCACAACCTCGGTAAGACTTTAAACATGCTCACAGGATAAACTAAATGCTCAAAATTTTCCATTGTTCAGCGAAAAACAAGCGATTACAAAAAGCCATTGTTCTGCTGCTGTTCAATCAGACAAAAACTCTGGAATGAACTCCACGAGAATACACCAGTCTCGAGGACGACCATCTTACACGGTGAACGGACGTGTCTACGAGCAGACTGACGATGTTTTACAAATTACGGTATAAGGCTTGCACTGACTATCACAGAGTGCGAAAAAAGTTCTATTGAATTTTTTTCCAAATATTTCAGCAGTAAAACATACTGGATACTGTATAAACAATTGAATTCATTTGATTGAAGGAATATTACATTTGTCAGATCAACAGCGCTACCAATAAACAGAAAAACTTCATAACAGAGTCTCAAAATTGCCTCCTTTGGCCTCTAAATATTCACGAAGTTGTTTGCGAAAATTTCCAGCGGTACTCGCATGCGTCTCCACTGCGATTTTGTCGCAGGTGCGTGTCAAAGCCGTTTTATACATGTCGCCGGCAATGGTGCTAGTGACCAAGAATTATTCCTCCTGTTTGGACTACACGTAGTAATTCAATGGGTTGAAATCCGGCAAGCCTGACGGTCAAGTATCTTCCTTGCCAGGAAGCTGGAAACTACTCTTGGTGGTTGGCACTCGATTAAAGAACCGAATGCACATGAACCCAGTCCTCCTGGAGAGTACATCCGTCGGCGCCAAACTGTTGAGTGCTCCAAGGCTCCACTTGCCCCATTATACTTGCTGCTGATAGGTGGCTGCATTGATTTTGACGTTTTTGTTGACGAAAACCATTGGCGCCTTTCCGGTGGCGCAGATGTCGGTCCAGAACACTTAACCGCAAAATGACTACGGCTCATGATTTCTGCTACTATGGACTTCTGGTGACCCTTTTGAAGAAGTTGGCACCGATTCTGGCGATTGTAGAGTGGTTCAACCGTAAATATTTTCTGATCCATAGAAATCACCTTTGGCAAACGAATAACAGTTATCAAACGAATCATTCGGCGAGTCTTTGAAAGCCGTTTTCCTTTTTTTTTGACAAGAAAGTGGATACGAACGATTCTGTAACAGCGCAGCTAAACTAATTTCTGACAATATTTTGACTCTCCACTCGCTGATTTCGAGCTTCTCGAGCCATTTTGCGCATCAAACGCTTCGAATTTTTTCGAACTTGGCAGTAGATATTCTAAATGTTCTTCGAAGAAGACGAAATGGTTGGAGGACCTTTTTGAGGGAAGTTCTCAATTCCTTCGATGTCTTTGAAACGTCTCATGGTTTTGTAAGTACTTGCTGTTTTGAAATAAGTCAATTTTAACAATGTCGTCCGCTTTCATTCCCGTCTTGTCGCAACTCAAATACTGCGATGCATTCATTTTTACACTTCATAACTTCAATGCAACTAAAAATAGGTAAATAATAAAACAGAGTCTACACAAAACTTGAACGAAAAGTCATCAAACTTGTCGGGATTGATGAAGAACATGTTGTATCAATGCTAAAAAGTTAAATACAAAATTTACAGAACTTTTCTCGCATCCTGTATGATTAGCGGGACCGCCATCATGGACGACGACAGCGTGAAAAAACCACGAATGGAAAAAGTGCTGAATTATATACAATTGGCATATACGGACCGTCCAAGTAACCATGTAGGTATGGGGTTGTCCTATATTTTCTTTCATACTAATTGTTGCATAGAGTTTTTTTCTATTTGATATCGGACAATTCCCAAGAGGTTGCGTTATGTTGGTGATTGCTGTAGTAACAATAGCAAGAGACTTTGACATGGCCGTAGCACTGTCGCATACCATCTTTATAAATAAGATTTGGGGCTACTACGGGAATATTACGTCTACTGGCTTTCTCGCATCAAAGAATTACCAGCTTACCTAAAGTTCAAGTTCCATGATCGATACATAGTTCTTTTGGATTTCTGGAATTGGCAGGGTGGCGAACTTCGAAAGTTGGCCGCAATAGTGCGAGTGAACCGTCTCCAACAACCAACACAGCATCGCCTTTCCTTCAGGACAACGCTCGATGCTGCATTGCCATGTTGACTCTCCACACACTGGAAAAACTAGGCTAGAATACGGTACCAAATACACCGTATATCCCTTTATCGCTCCGTCAGATTATTATCTCTTCGAGGCCTGAAGCAGTGATTGCGGTAGAATAAATGTAAACACTACAACCATCTCAATAGTGACCTCAACTACTTCTTTGATTGCTAGCTTCACTTCTTGTGAGAGAAAGACTTCTAATCTTTCCCCAAAAAATTGTTGCATATTACTGACCATGATGTTGATTATATTGCTGATAAAGTGGTTTCTTTAAATAAACAACAATTGGGTTGAAGAAAGTGTCGAAATACGAACATTGTGATGGGGCAACCCAGTAACCAAGTCAGAGAGTGAAAAATTTCGCTATAATCTACATGGACTGGCGGCTGCTTATGAAGTGATAACCTGAGAAATGATCTAATCTAACATCGGGACTGATGAATACCACTGGATACCACACCTGCTCAAACAGCGGAAATTCTCCCTCATTACTTTGCTTTTCTTGTCAACGACGTCGAACTGTAAAGCGACTGATGAAATTGACCAAAATCCGCTAGCACAAGACGTCACCGCAAACGGTCCAAAGAAACACTACCATAGCCTCTTCTCAGCTGCCTATCTTAATGCTTTCCTTCATCGTTACTCTGATCAAATTATACAATTCTCAAGAAAGGTAAAGTAGAAATATCGGCACATACTTGTTAGACGACGTCGTCTCTGTCATTCATAGAAGGTCATTACAAAAATTTCGGTGCTACTGACTCTGTTGTGCACCTCTAGGTTTCCCATTACGTCATCCCATACGATATTTTATCACTATGGTTGACCATTCTTCGTCTCAATCGTTTCTTAGAAAGAATTTCAATTCAGAAAGTGCCACTCACAAATCAAAACTACTGATGGAAGCGAACTGGACGCGTTCTACACGCAGCTGGAGAGAATATTCCGCTGCCAAAATTCCATTATCTGAAAAAATCTTTTGTATAAAATATGTCAGGGTGTGCATGACAGGGTTTTATTATATGAAATCCCATTTTCATATGATTGACAGACGAGGGAAAAAGCTGTCGAGAACTACTTACAGTCTGCTTGAAAAAAAGAATGAATAAGTGTCGCAGGGAACACTTTGTACAGCAGGATGGATGTTTCTACTCACACACTCGAACTTGGATTGCACTTGCGCTAAATTTTTCGTACAATCGCTTCTCCTATAGGCTTCTTCTCATTATCTGATGCACTTTGTCGTAGCCATCATAAGGCTATTCGACTGGCTCTTCTGTAGAAACTTCAATGTCTTTGTGTGATGCGATTTTCTAATTAGAAGCAGCTCTATCAGATTGTGCAAACTGGAAAACTTTGAATTCTCATCGT